GTCACTTTTTACGGAATCAAACTCAAAATAAGGTCAGTACACTAGGTGTTACCCTAGGGCAGTAACGCGTTACAAGTAACGCGTTACTGCCCATCTCTGGTCACCATAGACTGTATATGAAAGATGGATGTAGCTTTTGCGTTGGAGGAGTGTCTTTAGGAGTGCCTTATTTTTGTTTCTAAGAAAAATGAGAGCCACATATGAGGATATTCCTTTAAAAATTCGATCGAACAGCAGCAGTATAATGTCCTCATAAGTGGATATTAGGCCCTTGTAGAGCAAAATTTAGTATTTTGGTCTAAATAACCCAAAATGTGATGTCCACATATGTGGACGCCAGGTCCTAGGAGGTTAAAAATGCTTTTTAACAGCCAGCAAGAAGGCGTCGCCTGTGATTTCAAAAGACATCCGGTTTCATAAAAGTCTATGGGAAAGAAGCTGATGAGCCCTCAGTGAACACTTATCTGATGAGTTTTTAGGCTCTACTTTTCAATCTATGATGATACAAAATAATGTTGTTTTTGTAAATTTTAGTCCCCATTTGTATGAAAAATAAACGCTTTAATGTGAGCCTACTTTGTGACTGACAGGTTTCTACTGTATGAGCTTGCAGTGTCCCTCAGCTTTATATTCAGATCTGCCTGCAACTGTGAGATTTGGTTTAAAGGAGCTAACATGACAATGTCCATCTTCGTTGTACAGTCTACGGGTGACAGCCAGCGTATAGCAGAAAAGAATTTATGTTTTAAGAAGAAAAAAAAAAGCCTGCATATAGAGAGACACTTTCCTCATACACTACCACCCGCTTCCTTCTGTGGACTGGCTCTGTGAATCAGGTGAAGCCTATAAGCTCCCTGCTGCTCAGGCAGAGTGACTGCCGGGTGATTGGTGGACTTTGATTGGAACTGTTCCTCACACGTAGTGTTCACGGTGGTTGATGTACACCTGGTCTGTCCCACTCTGATGACACACCCACTCCAGACGGGAGCGCTGATGGGTGGGGCTTTGGGCTCCCCGCCTTGCTGTGGGTGGGTGCTGCCTCTCCGTGAGCGCGTGCCTGTGCTCTGCCCTGCGAGTCTGTATATTAAAAGCAAAAAACCCAAATCATCACCTAGATCATCGTCATCGTCACCCTTTAGGCCTCTATAATGTGTGAGACTCCAAAAAAAGGACAGAGAAATAAAAAATTAAACTCGCCAAGATATTAAATTAATAAAGCCAAAGAGCCTCCTGCTTAATATAAACAGATTATGACATGAGTTAGCTCGTTGTTACTGCTGCTTGTTGTGACTCAGTGCGCTTCATTCAGTGTTAATAATTGTGGTGTAGAGCTGTCATGATTCACATACGTGACTTTCAGCTGGTTGTAAAAAGAAAGTGGGGTTTCACCTGACACAGCCAGGCCACTTGTGACGCGTGGACTCCCAGAGGAACAGCCGGTGCTCTCTCGGAGTAGGGAGGAGGCGGCTTGTGTGTCGGAGGAAGGTCAATCCTTCGGGGGAAGAAAAAGGGGAAGAAGAAATGGCAATGGAGACAAATTTCAGAGTGGAAAAACACTGTACTCACAAAGAAACAGAATAAAACGATCAGCGATAGATAAAATCGGTACAAAATCAATTTACTGGATCAAATTTGAAGGGCAGCCACTATAACGAGTTCCTTCTGAGGCATATTGATGTTGTTTATGGTATCCTGCGATAAACTTTGAGACGGATTCACAACAGAAGAGGCAGCAAAATCAACTTGATGTGCAGAGCTTTAAAGATGTGAGAATTTTTTAGGCGGAGACGATGAAAAACAGACGCTCTGTGGAAAACATCGGAGCCTACAGACGCCCTGAGGTGCAAAACACAACAACACAAAGGCACAAGATTTCAGAAAACATGGCAGAAAACAACAACAACAACAACAACAACAAACACAAACAAACAAAAATCACAAAATGATGATGCACTTTTTCTCCTTTTGCTGTGGTTGTGTTTGTCTTGTGTGTTTCGTCAAATAGTTTTTATTATTTGCACCTGAGGGCCACCGTACAGTTACTGCATGTCTGAAACTTGATGAAATTTTACCCCTCTTTTTATTTTTAAATGCATCTTGCAAGTCCTGCAGTTTAATAGTCCTAGACAGGGTATTCCTCGAAGCCCTGGAATCCAATATTACAGACGATTAAATGAAGATGGCTCAGTGTACATGACAGCAGGTGTATGAAAGTGATGGACTTCCACGCGGACGAGTAAATTAGAACATTTTCTGACAGCTGTTCCTCTAAACCCCTGCAAGACGCTGAAGTCAGACTCGCTCCCTCGCTGGCTGAAATCCCCCTGCCCTGCTAAACTGAAGCCTAAGAACAAACCTCAGCCATTCACAATACAGCGTCATGACAGGCATCGATTTTCTAACACTGTGTGTCACTTAATGCCGAGTCTCTCTTTCATATTTGGGATTCGAAGTGACCGATTACAGTCAGAGCTTTTCATTGACCCGCCGTCTTACTCTCACGTCTGCGTGTGATGAAGGAGGTGATGAAGCCTGCGTTCACCCTCCTCCTCCCCCTACCCACGCCTTGTTCCACTGGGACTTCCAGTCACGGTCACACTTAAGATGCTAAGTTTGTCGTGGCATTGACCAGCC